TATATTATTATGTATTATATATATATATATATATATATATTCGTTTCGTATACCGAACTCATGACGTTTATGAATTTTATACCCATCCAAAAACACACACCTGTCTGACCTCTTGACATTTTCAAACTGTTGCTTCTGATTAACTCGTTATCAACATCAGTCCGTTTGAAATTCCATATGTACTTGTGGGTCAAAATATACAATCAACAGTTATATGCATATACATGTACGTATTATTCACTCATATGCTATCAACAGTTATATGCATGCACATAGACATACACTCAGCACATGTACATATACCACAGCCTCACACAACCAACGTATTCCTACCATACCTCCATCCCCAAACACACATCTCCACAGTTTGACATGAGCAATCGGCGCCTATCCACAACCCGGCCAATTGAGTCTGTCAAGGCAACCGACGACACAGCACAGGACAATGGCCCTCCGCTTAAACTACAGTTGGATGTGCAGATCATCGCACCCACTATAGTGGTGCCCAGAGGTCAGTCATGCGTGTGCATGTAGAGTGTATGTTGTGTGCATGTTGAGTGTATGTGTATGCAAGTAGAGTGTATGTGTATGCATGTGGATTCTGTGTGTATAAAGAGTGTACGTGTGTGCATGTGGATTGTGTGTATGCATGTAGAATATATGTGCAATTTGTTATGGTAGTAGTCTAGGTGAGATATGTGTGTATGTGTGTGCGTGTGTGTGTATGTGCATGTACATGTGTATACATGTAGGTTATATGTGTGCGGCACTATGGTAGTAGTCTAAGTGAGATATGTGTGTATGTGTGTGCGTGTGTGTGTGTGTGTATGTAGATATGTATACATGTAGATTATATGTGTTCGGTACTATGGTAGTAATCTAGGTGAGATATGTGTCTATGTGTGTGCATTTGTGTATCCATGCACAATACATGTGTTCGTAGCTATGATAGTCTGCTAGGTGACATGATGTATGTGTGTGTATGTTTTTGTATAAGTGTATACATGTAATATATATGTGTGTGTATGTGTGTGTATGTGTGTGTATATGTGGTTATATGTCTATGTGGGATAGCTACCCATCCCATGTATTCAGGGTACTCATATCACTTATACACCCACACACCTATATCTAATACAGACACATACACCCACACCATATCATATCGCTTGTACTCCCACACACCTATACCTAACACAACACAGACACTCATATCATATCATTTCATATAACTTACACGCACACACTAATATCTAGGACAGACACACACCTGTACACAACTCAGATGCATACGCTCATGCCATATCATCCCTTGCTCGCGTTCACTCCACAGGCACGAACGATGAGACTGTGGTGGTTGCTGACCTGGGTGTGTTCTCAGCCACCAATCAGATCAGCACAGACGCGCAGGGTCTGCTAGTCGACACCATGTCTGTATGTATCTGTGGTGAAACAATGAGTCATGTGTGTATGTGTTGGGTAGTATGTCTATATTCACTCAAACTGTCACACAAGCGTTTGTGTATGAGCGTTTATTTTGGGGATGTATATATGTTTCAGGTTTTGTGTGTGTGTGTGGTGTAATATTCTTGTAATATGTGTCTGTATATATATATATATAT